CTGAGCTTACATAATGATCCATTTAAATGATCATTTAAATGATCCACTGGGTTTTCCAGTGATGGGATAATCTATGCAGTGTTCATAGGTTGGGCACTGGATGGTTCCGGCTCCCACGCTGAGCACTGGCCAGTGTAGTGGACAGGCTCGGGGCACAGTGTCTGGAGACTGGGCTCAGTCAATTACCGTCTGTATGATATTGGTTAGGGGACTTAGTCATTCTGGCTCTTGGCTTCTGCATCTTGACAAGAGTAGCTATAGACAAGATATCAAAAGAGAATGAGCATCTGGTCAAGAGGAAGCTCTCAACACATGGCAGGTGTTTTTACTATGGAGGGAGGGAATGGCACACGCAGGGCAAGCCTTCTCTCAGGTCACCATCCTTCCCTTTCATTATTGTCCATAGCTGAAGAAAAACATAGAATCAGGACAAGACTTTTGGTTAGTGGAAATTGACTTTTATTGTTTTCCATCAGTAAATTCTGGGATACGTCTTTTCACCTGTGTTATTTCTGTAATCGCTGAAACACATCAAGAAGGGGACTTCTCAGACTCCCATCTTCTAGATGAAAAAGCTGAGGATCTGAGAATCTAACATTTCCTGCCCAAGGAACACAGCTAATCAGAGGTAGGCTGGGATTTGAACCCAAGTATTTTCCTTCTTACAATTACCCATAAATTTTCTGCTCTAAGCCTAGATATTTGAACTTTTAGTGTATTATTTGTCACTGCTATCCCTCATGCAGCCTAGATTATATATAAAATTATATGGGTAAGTCCTTTGTTCAAAATATGTTTGGGATGACTTTTGATTTTAAATGTAATGCCATAAATCACCCATCTATTAATTAAGACAAATTCCTTTGGGAATTTATGTTTCCATAGTGATATGCCATTCTAAACAAACACTACGGCAGACATTGCAATCCATATGAGAGGGGATGAGGGTAGAAATGAATATTTGTTGAACGCCTTCCACTTGCCATGTACACTACATACGTTATTCCATTCAGTCCTCGGAGGATGTATCTGTTATTAAGTAGTTACCAGGTGCCTCTTCTGTTTCCAGTGTTCTGGGTGTGGAGGGTCCAGAATCGAAAGAAACAGAACCCATGCCTTTGTGGAAATCAACATTCTTTGGAGAGAGATAAACAATAAATAGGATATATATGCCAGGTGAAAAGGAGTGCTATGGGGGAAAAGCACAGAAAGGGGATGGGGAGTGTTGGTAGGAAAATATGTGTGTTTGTCCCCATCCAATAGGAAGGGTCTCACAGAGGCAGAGACTTTGAAAAGACAAAGGAGATGAGTGAATGAGCTGGGGTGACACCTGGGGAAGAGTATTTTGGGCAGAAATAAATAGTAAGTGCTAAGGCCCTGAGGTAGGAATATAACTCGTCCGTTTGAAGAACAGAGGAACAGAGTGGCTGGAGTGGAGTGAATGAGCAAGAGACTAGTAGGAGATGAGATAACAGATAGGGCGCCTTGTAGACCTTTGTAAAGATGCTGGCTTTTATTTTGAACGAGATTGAAACCACTGGAAGGTTCTAAGAGTGACATGAGCTGGCTTATGTTTGAAGAAGAGCAGTCTGGCTGCTGAGAGCATAGTGAATGTGTAGAAGGATTTTGCAACAATCCAGGTAAGGCAGGAGGGTAGCTTAGACGTGAGTGGTGGCTGTCTGAGAGAGAAGTGGTTGGATTTGTGATGTACTGATAAGTAGAGCTGATGGATGAGAAAAAGAGGAGCCAGGGGTGACCCCAGGGCTTCTGGAACTGGAGCTGGAAGATTAGAGTTACCTTTGCTCAGGGCATAGAAGACTACTCAAGAAGGTGCTGCTTAGCACCTCGCTCACACCCACACACTGAGGCTTTCCCCTACGTGACCTTGCCTCCTTCCAACTGGGCGAAATCCACAAAATGATGAAATCGCGTCACTCAAGTTTATAAGCAGGCATGGTGTGGTTGGAAGACTCACCAAGGGCTCTGAAAATGATTCTCTTTCTTCCCCTTTCAGACTAATTCTTGTTGTGAAATTCGAGTGCTCTAGTACACCCAAGCCAAACTCTTGGTCAACTAGTTGATTACGGAAAATAGGGTTTTCCTGGCAACTCTTCCATGTGCTTCTACTGCTTTTTCCCTATCGCAGAGATGGACCTCGGTGCCAAATTACTTCTTTTTCTCCAAAGTACATCTCCTTGGATAACCTCTCTGGCGGGTGTGGAACCACCACAATGGTTATTCATGGTTGGTCTTTAGACTAAAAAGCATCAACCAGGGGAAAACAAATGAAAATGTAACTGTTTCACAAGTGGGTAGTAACTTCAGTGAAGCTGCAAGGAGTGGCATCCTGGGAGGCATGGATTTAGCTCAGCCTTCTGTGAGGACAGTGTCTATGTGATTGGCCACTCTGGGTCCCAGAGTTGTCAAGGCAAGACTTACCCCTCCCAAACCAGATGTCTTGCTATCCCTCTGCCTGCAAAGCTTTTCTAATTCAGACAAGGTTTGCAACAGACAATAAAGGGATGAGTTGAATGTGATTAAATCCCCACCCTGGAATAAGAACTATATAGCTAACTCACAGTCAAGTAGGGCATATTTCTGTATCATATACCATAGATAACATAGTGAGTGCTGGTGTCAACTCCCAATTTTCTTTCTCCAAATAATAAGTGAAAATATTAAGTTGGTATATTTATTCACTCATTCATTTATTCATTTAGTTAACATTTTAGCAACCCTCGTATGCCAGGCATTGTGCTCAAAGTCACTGGAGTGGCTTCAAGAAGCTCCCACCAGCTCTCACCATCTATCATGGGAAGGGTCAGAGTGGAAAGTACATACGTCCATGATGTTCCAGGCACTGTATTAGGTCCTGAGGGTACAGCAGTGACAAGACAGATAAGGTCCTTGCTCACATAGATATTAGAGATGTGATTATTTCAGAGAATGGTGCTATATATATCCCCAAAAAAGTGATAACTGAATAGAAGGTGAATGGAGGTAGAGAGTTGAGATCTTTTACAAAGAGTGGTTAGGACAGGGATATAATGATCGGAAAGAAGGAACACAAACATGGAGGCAGTTGAGGTAGGAATATATGGAAAGAGAGGGGAAAGGAACAGAGAGAAGGCCAGTGTGGTTAGAGTTTAGCAAATGAAGAAACTAGTGCAGTGAAATGATGTTGATCAAGGGCAGAGGAAGGGGCCTGAGCACCGGGGCTTTTTAGGTCATGATTAAGGAGCTCTGTTTTTTATTGTAAGTATAATTGGAAGCTATTGGAGGGTTTGATACAACCTAAAATGTATGATTTAACTTTATGCAGGGCAGAGAATGGACAGGAGGGGCCAAGATGGAAACAAGGAGACAGTCAGGAGGCCACGGCAGGTGAGAGATGGTGACTAGGACTGGTGGGCAGTGGTGGAGGTAATGGAAAGTGGTCAGAGAGAAGAACAAGAGAAGTGGAACGCCCAGAGATGGCCCCTAGATTTGGGGCTGAGCCACTAACTTAAACAGGCAAGACTGGAGAAGGAAGGAGATCATGAATCAAGAGTGCCTTTTGG